AAAAAAAAAAAAAAAAAAAAAAAAAAAAAATTGTGGTACACCCCTTAAAACCTATGTTAAGATCTGGCCCGCCCAGGATCCCAGGGGTTTGCCCGGGTCCCACCTGGATGGACCCGGCCAGGCAAGGCTCGGACAAGGTGTCGGGCAGTCCTAGAATAAAATTGCAAAACAATCCGAGAGAAACATATGTTGCATAAAATGATAGTACAAACAACTTTTGGCCGAGGGTCATCTCCAAACTCCTACTTATTTTCAAGACAAAAAATAAAACCCCACTTCAAACAAACCCCTCTAGAGCCTAAACCCATTTGTATCCCTTTCCTCTTTTTTCCTGTACTTCTTCCTCTTCTTCTTCTTCTTCTTCGTCGTCGTCGTCTTTTTCCACCACCTTCTCCATCTTCCATCTTCTTCCTCTTCTTCTTCTTCCATATCCCTTCTATCTGCCACCTCCCTTCCTTCCACATAGTGCTCATCCCCAAACCAAGCTCTTACCCCCATCCCCTTCAGCATACTGCTCATCCCCAACTCAAGCCCTTACCCTCATTTTCAAGACAAAAAATAAAACACCCTTTCAAACAAACCCCTCTAGAGTGTAAACCCATTTGTATCCCTTTCCTCTTTTTTCCTGTTCCACCTTCTCCATCTTCCATATGCTTCCTCTTCTTCTTCTTCCATATCCCTTCTCTGCCACCTCCCTTCCTTCCACATAATGCTCATCCCCAACCCAAGCCCTTACCCCCCTCCCCCCTCCCCAGCTACCAACCTGCCTTCCAGTTTACAAAGGCAGATTCTGCATGTTCTGGACAAGTGCAGTCACACTGCGCGGTCAGGGAAAGGTGGGGGAAAAACATAGGCTGGTCGGGCAAGCCCCCCCCCCCCTCCCTGCCCAGGCCAGGCAGCCCGGGCACGCGATCCTATAGTGGAGCGAGCAGAGGTAAGGTGTAAAGGAGGGAGAAGTAGAGGATGGAGGAGAGGAGGGAAGAATAGCAGAGGGATGAGAAGAGGAGGAAGGAGTAGACTAGGGAAGAGCAAGGAAGGACGGAATATAAGAGGGACGAGAAGAGGAGGGAGGAATAGACGAGGGGTGGGGAGGAGAGATGCTGAGCAGAGAGGACTTGAGTAGAATAGAGGAGTAGAAGAGTAGAGGAGTTGAGGAGGAGAAGATGAGAGGAGGAGAGGTGGAGAGGAGGAGACAAGGAGAGGAGGAGAGGATGAGAGGAGGAGAGCAGGAGAGGAGGAGAGGAGGATGGGAGGATGGGAGGATGGGAGGATGGGAGGATGGGAGGATAGGAGGAGAGCAGAGGAGTGAGGAGTGGAGGACCAGAGGAGTAAAGTAAGGAGATGAGAGGAGGAGAGGAGGAGAGCAAAGGAGTAACGAGTAGAGGACTAGAGGAGTAGAGTAAGGAGGGAGGAGTAGCAGAGGAGTAGAGGCATAGCGGCACAGAGGAGTGGGGTAGAGGAGTAGAGATGTAGTGGAGCAGAGGAGGGAGTAGAAGAGAGAGGAGGGATGGGTAGAGAGAGGAGTAGTGGAGTGCGAAGTTGCGACCCTCCTATATGATTCCCCTCCTGCCTCACATGCAAGCATCTTGCAACCTCCTGAAACACCCCTGTTCCCTTCCCCCATGCATGGAAACCATGATGCGACCCTCCTCCACGCTCTTCCTCCTCTCCCACTTCCCTTTGCCCTTCATCTATGGCATGTCTGTATCGCTTTCATTGGGCATGTGCACAGTTCAATGGTGATCGCAAGCCTCTGCCCTAGGCTCTCTCTATCTCTCCCCTATTCTTTGCAATCAAAGCATGCCTCGACACACCCCATTTGATGCTCCCGCCTCATTTCTTCCCCCACGACAAGCCCTGACACTCTCCCTAGATACTTTCCCCCTCTTGACACTGCTCTCCCCTCTGCCTCCGCCCCCTTGACACTACCCCGTTTGGCACTTTCCCCCTCATACTAAGTCCCTTGGCACTTCCCCCCCCCATTGGCACGTCCCCCCCCTTGGCACTCTGCCTGGGCACTTCCCATCAAACACCCCCCTCCACACTCCCCTCCCCTCCCCATCTTCCAACTTTGTGTAAAAAGCATATTGCCCCCTTGACAGTTCCTCTCGCCTCCAGTGTACCCAAAGCATTTTGTGACCTCCCTCACCCATATGTTATGCACTGCCAGGTCTATTCCTCTGAGCCACTGCATGCAGGTCTGACGAGTTTCCATGCGCCCAGGGGTGATCCTCTTCGTTTTGAGCAATACCCAGGCCCTTGACAAACCAGTTCACTACCGTCTTCACCCGAAGATAATGCCTGGTCATTGTCGCTGTACCTAGACTTAAAGCCACACCAAATACGGCTATAATGAGAGGGCATTCTATTCGGGTGAAGACGGTAGGGCCTGACCTCATTTTGAGAATGAAACAGCAGCGGACAGATGCCTGCTGCGATTCTTTCCCCTCCCAAAGCGCAGGCCCTGGACAAAAAACGTCTCTGTTGACCCTGCAGCTGATTGACCAGGCATCCCAGAGGAAGCGCTCAGCCTACTGCCTTGCTTCAACCATTTTCACATTCTGTTACAGATATGGCCAGGGGTCGATCCCTGGACCTCATGCCTGGTACCGGACATTTATTTTTTTCTGCTATGTCCGCGGTACCGACACATCTTATGTTTCTGTCCTCTGGACATTTTTACCGGTACCCTTCTGGTATCAACGATTTCCGTACATACCCCTGAGCCCAGCCTAGGCGTTAGGCTGTTCCCAGGTATATGTACCAGTCTCACACACGGGTGATACATCTTGTGCTGTACTCAGTTTTCAGACATTGAGTGTGAGTTCGACATTGAGTTGCTGTTGGTACTATTCTGTGAGCGTTCTCATCGTACCAATCAAGTTCTGCATTGGAGTCTGGTGGTGTGTGAGTGTTTACTCTCTCTCACCCTTCCTCCTCCTCCTCGAATCCAGTGCTCGTCACACATTCGCAATTTCACACACACCCTGCAACTGGTTGACCTGGCATCCCAGGGTACGTGCTCAGCCTACTGGCTTGCTTCAACCATTTTCACACTCACAATTTCACACTGAATTGCTGCTGCCAAATTGCCCAACCTGGATGATCATTGCCACAGGTTGATGGCTTTCCAGTGTTTCCAGCATCGACAACCTGTGATCCCCTCGTTCAGCACCCAAAGAGCTGACGAGTGCAATGCTGAGTTGATCGCCTCCGTTTTGAAAAGGAACTGTAAATGTGTGTACTGATATGGTGGCCATTGTCCATCACCCATGGCAATCGGCATTTTGCATGATCCACCACTGCCACTGCCTTGGTAGGGTGGTGACTCCTAAAACATGCTACCAGGCCTGAGCAGACTGTGATTTCCCACTCATGATAGGATAGATACCATACACAACAGGCGACCTTGATCTCAGTTGCAGGTGAGGGACCAACCACAGCACCATAGCCGGTAAGCTGACATGAGCACCATCCACTGCCACCGGGGATACGCATGGAGAAAATGGCACCAGAATAGACCTGCTTACAAGATGAGCAAAACTAAGGGAATGCCATGTGCGTAAGGCATCCTGATGACAATGGCAGCACGTGAGATTGAGAAAAAAGCATGACGCAAGAGTTATTGTTATTGTACAAATACTTTGCAAGAGTTGGGCGATTCATGTGGCTAAATGTGCCCACCTTGCTGAGGTCAAGAATGTTGTTGAGCAGTCCAAGCAGCGCCATGGAGCAACGCCGGATCTGTGACACAGTGTCGAACTGTTCTGACGTCATCCCGTCATCAGACAGAAGGATATCCACCAACCCTGAAAACAAGCACAGATGGAATGTGACCCTCACCAACAAAAGCAAAAGCAAGAAAGGACTCGAAGAAACAGGTTATCAACCATCGATGATTAAATTGTGGAAGTTCTCTTGATTTATATCGACATCCTGGGAGTCTGATCAACACTGCTTGCCATTGAGTCCAACTGGGCATTTGGGCATTTAACGTTTGTTCGAAAGTCTCGTCTCCGCTGCTAACTTACAGGCACAGAATGTCCTTAACCAGAGTTTTAACAACTACCGTCTTCACCCGAATAGAACACCCGCTCATTATCACAAACACATCTATAATGACCAGGCGTTCTATTCGGGTGACGATGGTTGTCCTTCATGTGGCAAGAACTTCAAGAAACACTCCCTCTGCTGTGAGCTGAGGAAGCACTTGGCAGATTGGGACAGCAGGGCCAGAACCAACCCACTGGAATATGAATGCACTCAAACTGAAAAGAACAGGTGGCAGCTACAAAACCCAACTGGACCGTCCATGTATTCAGATTGGCTCTGCGTCAAACCAAAAGCTAACCTAACACGCACATACAGCTGGGCATCAATCCATGCTAACCTAACATTTGCATATTGCAATGGGGCCGTCTCAGGGGCCAAACTCCAACCAAGTAGAACTGCAACCAGCCAGCAAGCTACGCAGATATCACCAGAGGTTGTACCATGAAAACCCCTCATGAATCAGAAGACTACCCCAACTTTGACTACCCGACTAAGGGGCAGGCTCCACATGCTATGCCATAGCAAGGCTTCGGGATGTGACGGACGTTATTGAGAATGCAATTTGACCATCTGATAGCAACATCCCATTTCCCAACAAAGTCCTCGACACAGTCCTGTGGGACCTAGTCCTCAAAGGCTCCATCTGTTTATGTCGATGTCAAAGTTTCCGGATCTAATGGATGTCATCAGGAGTTCAATTCTACCATCTGACGGTGGCCGTCAGATTTTACAAGCCTCCACACAGTCCAGCTGCGCCTGGCCCTATCTCACTTATGACTGCAAAATCAACTGCCTCAGCTTTGGAAAAGTGGTGGCAACAAAGTGCCCACACGGAGATGCCGGAAGAGTCTGGCTAGAGTTTATCTTCAGCACCTTGATCCTTAGCCCAGTGGGGTCCCTTTTTTTTTCTTTTTTCTTTTTGGGACCATTTCTCGATTTATAAGTGTCATCGTTGCGCAGGGGCCATGCTAATCTTCTCTGTATTGTTACAATTTTAATGGATCTCCCGAAGGACGCCCAGTGGGATTTGTTTTTTTCTTTTTCAAATATATCGACTGCCCCGGACCTGTTATTGGTTTCCATTATTCGCCATTGACCAAGTCATCTTCCTGCACCAGGAAGCACAGAGGCTCAGACTGTACTTTCACAGAGGCTCACAGCATTACTTTCCTAGATGTATCTTATGACACGTCAGGCATCAGATACTATGTATCTGATGACAACTGCAGCCGGAGGTGGATGCATCCGGCTATATCCAAAAATCAGTAAGTTCAGGGGCTTAAGCCACCAGTACTTTGGCCCATACATCGGAGGCCGCGCTTCCCTGTTAAACCGCTAGTACACGGCCCCAGCCTTGCTGAAAAGAAAACTCGTCGCCTACGAAAATTTCGGAGGCCCGGCACCGTAGATAAATTGAATCGGCCGTGGGCGGCCTCCAAAAAGAGCCCGCGGCCGATAGCTGGATGTACCGGTGGTTTAACGTGCCGTGCCTTTAGGGCTTCGGGCTACCGGACCACAATGGCTGGACGCGCCAGCCAAAACGAAAACAAAAAGTCATGCCGGCGGTTCGATCAGACTTGGCGTGCAGGGTGCTCCGAGACTCGGCATCGATAGCTGGGCCAAGTACTGGTGGTTTAAAGCATACTCACACTTGGACGTCCAGTAGATGTATCTGATTGCATTGTCGCCAGACATGGATGTCCCGAAACTAGTGAAAAAGCTCACAGTGAGAGTATGCCCCTAGACCACCACTCTACACACACAAACCTGTTTTGTTGAAACTCTCTTTCTACTGAGTGTGGACTTGATTATCCTCAAGCAGTAGAGTAAAAGGCACAGTAGGCACAACAAAGAACGGTGGCCGTCAACGTGAACCCCCAGCGGCACAACACAATGTTTGATGTCGGTGGTCACAGCTTTTCTTGGCAGCTGTGCCAAGCTGCTGCCCAGCGGCAACTTGACTGCCCCTCAGGCCCCTTGTAAATGGGCACAAAATCGGGCGCCATCAGGTAGAGTGGCGGTTTGAAGTGCGGCTCACTTACCATTTGCACCAGGTGCCACACTTATGCTACATTCATTTTAAGGCAACATGCACCCGGCCATCTTTACAACCAGAATCATGGTTTCCTAGCACAAGCATGGCACCAGTGAGGCCTGGTCCTTTGGATGACTACTTGACCACAGCCTTTAAGGCACCTACCACAATGCGACAACCGCCGAAATAGACTTTGCAAGTAGGCACAGCTTAGAATTAGAATGACCCGTGTCCTTCAGGACATCTGTTAAAATCGGAACGATACAGAGAAAGAAGATTAGCATGGCCGCTACGCAAGGATGACACACATAAATCGAGAAATGGTCCTTCGGAAAAAAAATTCAAAAATAAGACTAGAATGACCCCTTGGCTATTTTCTATTTGGCAATTTCACAGTCAAATGGCTCACAGGGACACAGCTCAAGCCTCTTTGTATCCAAGCCTAAGGGCAAGGATCTGATAGTACTTTGCTTGTGAACCTGGTTGAAAAAATGGCCGTGTTCATATCATGAACATAGCACCTGGCTATCCACAACATACAGATACACCGAGATTTCGAGGGGCGGCTGTCTGGTACATAGAAGGCCGAAGGTCCAAATGCTTCAAGGCAATCGACCACCAAATATTGATGAGTCCTCGGCGTATGAAGATCCACGATGATAGATTCCTGTGGAGCCTGGTCCTGAATGTCTCCCTCCAACTGCTCCCTCTGTCACCTCTCAGCCGCCGCCTTGAGACCAAACCAGTTAGGTACCCAAGCAAAGCTGCATTTATGCCACCATGAGCGTACAATCCACAATGCAAGGCATCCCCAGGGCAGAATGAAGAGTAGGTGAAAGCATGAACTGGAACCATGAACCACAGTGATTGCTTACATAAATCCAAGACCATATGCAGATTCAGAGCACTATGCGCAGAGAATGACTGTTTATTGCCAAATACAGGGTTGCATCCCCGCCGACCGCCGACCGTATTGCAGCCAACCAGTTGGGCCGACCGGTCGGCAGTCTGCCGACCAGTTGAAAAAAAAAAAAAAAAAGGAAAAAAAAATTGAAAAAAAAAAAAAAAAGACGTCCACTGAATTTTTCCCAAATCTGAGTTGGGGCTGTACTGCACTTGCTACACTAATTTCCTGCAAGGACCCTTCAAATTACCTGCAAGGGCCCTCTGATATGTGTGAAAGGGGTCCTCCTCTCTCTCTCTCTCTCTCTCTCTCTCTCTCTCTCTCTCTCTCTCTCTCTCTCTCTCTGTGACAACACACAACACGGCCTTGCTAAGCTCTCCGTTCAGGCGGATCGATGCGGCTAGGGTCGGGACTGTACTAGCGGTCATGCCATTGGGTGTCCATGGCTGAGTGGGCGTGTAGAGTGGGTTTTATCACTGTGTCAGATTAGTTTCTCAGACTTACTACCGTTCTTGTCAAGGGTTTGGACAGGCAGTCTGCTAGGATTGCAAGGTGGGTGTGAGTAAAGTCGGCCACTTTTCTCTCTCAGGGATGGGTATCGCTAACTCTGGGTGACGTGGTGATTCCATATCCATCAGTCAAATGCATCCTGGGCATACTGCCGGGTTCAACCTCCTGATGAGTCGGTGAAAGTCCGACGAAACAGTCTGGCACACTCGTGCTCTTTTCGAGTGTATAGGCCCAAATATAAATAAGTATGCCATTCATTACATGTACACACACAGCTTCTGCCACCCCTGATGGGTGACATGACTTAACAGCACTGCAAAGCTCAGAAACAAACAGGTACCGAAGAGAGAAGAATAAGCAAGGTGCTACCCTGGGGGCCAGGCAATCAAACAAGCATCTCTCTCTCTCTCTCTCTCTCTCTCTCTCTCTCTCTCTCTCTCTCTCTCTCTCTCTCTCTCTCTCTCTCT